GTAGTGGGATAGGGGCTTCTGGTGTGAGAGACCCACCATGGGGTAGACCTTGAGGCTTGGGGCTGGTGGGAGTTCTGTAGGTGCTAGAGGGAGGGAGAGGCTGGCTGCTTCTTCATGCTAAGCCTTTACAGATTCCCAGCTGCTAGACAGTCAAGAAAGACCCAGCTCTTTTTCCTCCTGCTCAGTAGGGGAGTCTTGGGTATGGCTGGTTCAGTGGTCATGTGGGACCAGGTGCTTGAAGTGCTGAGGTGTATAAGGTGGTGAGTCTTTCCCAAAGCTTTTCCTCAGTTTTGTGTAACAACACCACTGTTCTCTGGTTAGCTCATCTGTCCCAGTCCTGGGGATGGAATCAGGTGGGTTCTTTCTCTGAGGGATTCTGTATAGATATATACACCTCCTCAGCTTGAGGAGCCACGGTGATGCCCATTCCTGTCTGGCTTTGTGCCATACACTCAATATTCAAGGGATCATTGGCAACCGAGGGCCTCTCGCCAGCTCTGTACAGGGCCCAGGCTGCTCTGGTCCTTTATGTGTAAAGTAGGGATGACAGCCAGCACATACTTTGCTGTCACAGGAGTAAATGGTCCCAGCCTAAGCCATGGGAAGGGCTACCCCATCCCAACTCCATGCCTACAGCATGACTGGGTCTTGGTTGCAGGTGGCCAGCAAGGCCATGCAAACGGATGGTGTCATGGGCCAGTAAGATGCCAAGTACCACACCTTGGTCAGCAGAAACAGCTGCGGCTTTATGAGGTGACCATCGCTACCTCAAAAAAGCCCAAATTAGAGTTCACATGTGTAAGTGCCAAAGAACAAAGACACTGGAATCAGGAAGTCCTGAAAACAGACACAGACAGGAAACTGACAAGGGCTGTAGATCGCTCTCCCTCACTGAGGCTGGCTCTGCCCATCAGGCTCCAGCTGTGATTGGTTCTGGCCTTTACCAAGGCTTTATAAATGTTCAGACTGAGACTACCATTCAGTCATAAGGCCTGTGCTCTATGCCTGCCCTGGGCTACTGCTGGATGCCCAGGTTGCCCAGGGACTGACCTGTCACAGCTACCTGGGCCGCCTGCTGCTCTGCTCAAGGTCTCTTCTCTTTTGTCCTGTCTGTTGTTCTGGGCCAATAGCTCCCACTTGGCTCTCTTCGTGTGTTTTTCTAGCTATAATCTGCTTGAATGCTTGGCTTCTTACTCAGTGCGCTCTGACTTTGCCATTTCTTACCTCCGTATCTCAACGTCCACGGGCCTTTGCTTTTATTTTCTGTCCTTGCTTAACTGAATTTTGAGGAACACCTTCATGGCAAACATTAGTTAAGTCTCCATACATATCCTTCAGTTTCCTTAA